TGTTGCTAACCAGAAATAAAAAATAGAATGATTTTTCATAAAATTTTCCGATATTCCAAGAATCTAGAACTGTAAAAATTTGTGAGAACAGTTACAAAATCGATTTGGTCAGACATTCAATAATAAAACTCGGGTTACATATTTAAGGCAATATAAGTGGTTAGTACTTCTTCAACATAGGAAGTTATGGAAAATCTAATTAAACTGTGTAGAAGTAACATTTTTTTTGCCTTTAAAGGAATTTTAAAAAATTATTTTCCTATACTTTTTCTTATATATTTTGTTTACTTTGAACGTTTTTTTTTCTTATTTCCATTCTCTTCTGTTCTCCTATTCTTTCACGTTTTCTTATCTCCTTTTTTCATTGTTTTCTTAAATGTTCTTCATTCTTTTTATTTTTTTTTGTTTAATTTTATTCTTGTTTTTCTATACTTTGTTCTTTTTATTCTATCACTTTTATGTTCTACAGAGATTTTTCTTTTTCTTTTTTGATTCTTTCTTAATATTGTCTTATAGTCGGTGACCCAAATTTTCCAACAGGTTTCCATTTATTGTGTAGTTAAAAGTTGTAAATTAGAATATGATGGGGCATGGTAAAAATAAAAATAAAATAATGTGGAGAGAAAAAATAATATAAACAATGGAGAAGAGGGCAGACTAAAAAAAGAGAAAGCCACAGAGAGGGAGAGAGAGGAATATATATATAACATAGAGAAAGAGAAATATGTAAAGACAAACTAGGAAGAAAATATAACAACAAAAACAGTATCTCGATTACGTCAAATCCTTTTAAATGTGATTAAAATTAACATAAAAATAACTTTTCTTTTTTCTAAAATTATAATGGTAAAATGGTATAGAAAAGGATATTCGTTTAAACAGAATTATTATAATCATACACACACACCTTTGTGTACTTTGATATAAAATACGTGCTGTGTACTTGTGTATACGTAGAGTATTGTCCTTTTTATATTTGACAAAAAAAAAAAACAATATTCTGATCCGAATTTCAATTTATTTACTCTATCTATAGAAACAAGGTACAGAAGAAAACGCAAATTAAAAAACAAAAACGGAAAAAAAAAACAAAAACTCCACTAAAAGGCTTTAAAAATATATTCGGGTGATACAAGGATAAAACAAAACAGGATACTATCAGTTAAAATAAGTGTTCAGATAATTTTTTTTTTTTCAAAATACATTAATAAAAAAACAACACAGTAAAAGGGGAATGCTATAGCATCCAACAACCAAAAAAAAAGTTGGGTTATAATTTCACAAAGAGAACCAAAAACGATAGAAGATCTTCCCCTTCAATATTTTAAATGAAATGAATTTAAATTATTAATTTTTATATTTACCGACATGAATAAATATTAGAAAGCATATTGTCAGTAGACAGACAAAAGTTGAACACGACATTAAAAAAACGCTTATAAAGTAGCGCTTTTCCCTACAACAAGTGAAAAAACTGTTTTAAAAAAAAATCTACATTATTAAAATTACATTCTTTCATTCATATACGAAAATATTTCAAAGATTGCATACATTTAGGATGAGGCAAAAAAAAAAATTGAAAAAGGCATTAACATTATGGTCGAATTCAAGGATTATTTGCATTATTTATTAGTAAAGATAAATAATTATACTTTTTGATGAGATAAATTTGGAAAAGTTTCGGAGATGCCAAAATTTCAACATTTTAAAAATTCTGTGAGCGATAGTTTAAGAGGTGGAAAAAAAATTTTTTTCTAACGAAATAAACTATTTACTTAATATGTATCTAAAAGCTGCTTATTGTCTAAAGAAAAATTATCAAAAATTTGAAAAAACGAGTCTTAGATAACGGTTAATTTTTTAACGGCCATTTTGTTTTCTTAATGATCAGTTATGCTATGTCGCGGTAAAAGAACCTCGGCACTACTTTTCTGCGCTTGCAGAATTTTAAAAATGTTTATGGTTTTTTTAAAATAAATAGTCGAAAAATGGCAAGTTTTTTAGGGGCTATAACTTTTAGATTAGGGGAGTTAAAATTTTAGGGGAGATAAAAATTTGCTTCTACAGAAGTAAGTTTTTCGTAAAGATTTTATTTATATATTATGAAATTTCAGCTTTCTCCCTTCAAGGGTGTAAAATTTTTGTTAAAAGGTCCCTCTGACGGATGGATGTTCGGGTAGAATGAAATTAAAAAACATTTTTTTTTTCAAATTCATTTTTGAAAAGTGATAAAAAGGGGGCAAATAAGTATAAATGGCCAGATTTCTCTTGTAGTAAATTTTAATATTTATAAGACTTTTATTTCCTATATCTTCAGATTGGTTGCTTTTCGCAGGATTTATTTGGTGAACATAAATTTTAAAATGGTCGTATGTAATACTTAAACAATTAATTTCTTTGCCTTTATTTCTTTCCTACAGTCCTTCGAAATTCATAATTAATAGCGTTAAAAGTTTAGTTGAATCATTTTTAGTAAATCATAATAATTAATAAATATTTTTTATATAGCAAGTTATTAAAAATCGAACAATGAGAATAGAAATGAAAAAATTTAATGAATATTTGGAGTTATGCAGCTTAATTTCCTGCTTTCTATAATAAGTGATGGATATTAACTAGAAAGTTAAAAAAAATTGTAAATGTAGAGTTAGTCACAGTAAAATTTTTTCTAATGTTAAAATTAAAAATTGCTTTTCTTACATTGAACTTTATAAAGTCAGGCTTGTATATAAAAGCAAATACCTAAAACAGTAAGCTTTTTGACATTAATTTATTAACACACTGCATGCCAATGATCATAACCTCTCATATTGTAATATTTTTCGATCTCAATCGTCCCATAATATTATGTAATTATGTATGTAAGTATAATTTGTATTCTTAGCATAATTTATTATATATATATGTATACAATAAACAATTCTATGTGTAATTTACAAATATATTTTTATTTCCGTAAAACAAAAATTAAATTTTATCATTTTTTTTTGTGTCATTTGATGGATTTTTCATTTTCTTTTCAAATTATTTTTAAGAACATTAATACTGAATTATTGTCAGTGAATGTGCAAAAAAAAAACAAAAAAAAAAAAACAAGAAAAAGAAAACAAAGACCAAACGAGAAAACATTTTCTGCTCTCTTTTCTTGTTTTTTTTTTTTTTGTTGGGAAAATTTCCGATAAAATAACCCAATTATATTTGGGTTTCTTTTATTTTCTCATTTTCATTTTTTATTTGTAATTTTCTTATGAAGTATCAATTTACATATCTATGTACTCGTACACATACATAATATTGGAAATAAAATAAAAATATCTACACACATAATAACATTTTCGCTTGATAGTCTTTTTATTCACTCAAATTGAACAATACACAAAAGAAGAAAATTAGCACAGAAGAAACATAAAAAAAAGGCAAAAAAATAAAATCCTACACAGTTAATTTAACGATAAGGACTCCAACGAAAAATTCTTCATGTCACTTTTTCTTTTTATTTTTTTTAAATAATGATTTTACAGGGAAAAAAAAACATTGATACCAACAACATAATAATATATTGAAAAAAAAAAATGCCTCATATAATGTTCAGTAGTCAGTAAATGAAATTTTCAAGGTATTATGTGGCGGTAGCTCGTCTTCTCTTCTTATTTATACTTGCTTTGTTATATATATACTATGTATAAAAAAATGGGAACATCAAAAAGACTAGAGTGCTTTTTATAGGATTTAAATGTCAAGGCAAAATAAGGAAAAAAGTTCATAAGTTAATAAATATTTTCCGAACATATAAATTTAAAGAGAGAGCGAAAGAGAGATCGAAATTTTGGCTTTATGATGGAACCATTCGTTGCAAAGGAATTGAAGAAAAAAGCAAAAACGAATTTGAATCCTGCTGATGTTTGTAAAGAAGGACATTTCTTTAAAGCAAGTGAGAACATGAGAAATAAAAAAAATAATTATTCAGAATATTCTCTTTATAAATATCACGTACATATTACCATTGCATATTTTCAGGATGAAAATACAATTTATATGTATGTAAATTTCGTAGCCGTTGGTGAATTAGACGAGTATTAGTTTTTTTTTTCATAACATTCAAAGGAAAAATAGGGTAAAAGGTGGTCTTGTTCTGGCGAAATGAATACTTTCATTTATTTAGAAAAAATACGTTTCCTAAAAAGTTATATTTATGATTAATATTACAGCTTTAAGAATAACAAAAATTTTGAAAAAACAGATACACGAACAGACCAAATAAAATTAAAAAGCACATTTTTTGCATTTTTGCTAGAATTGTGCTAAAAAATAGAAAATTATTTGAATTTTCGCAATATATAATAGGTAATACATAAATAATACACTGAAGTTTACGCCGTCAATAATCAGGGAAAAGGTAATGTTAATCATAACAAAAAGAGGTGTAAAACAAGAATATAATAAAAAATATAACAATAAAATAAAAGAAAATATTTTAAGATGATTAGAGAATATAATGATTTTTAATGTGGTTGTAATTCTCAGATTTAAAATAAATTCTAATGTTATAAAATATTTAAAAAATGTTCATATAAAAAGAAAATTTGTATTTTATGTAAAGAAAGTGACAATAAAATTTTTTTAATGCGAAATTTAAGTTATTATTAAAAATGAATTATCGATTTAAAGGATTTTGAATTATTAATTTAAAACAAGAGGAACTATTCTATAATATTTTTTTTAAATATTTTATAAAATCAGTCATAATATTAATAGTTTAACATTAGCTGGGATCCCCAATAAAAACTGGTAACTCTCTTTTAAACATTGCCATTTATGACACACTGTTCACTTCGATTCTTTTATAAGATCAATTCGATTTTTTCATAATTGAATGTTTATTTAAATTTTAAAGTTAAAACGGAAAGGCTGATTAAATAACTATATACTTGTACATATATAAAAATATAATTTTCATACTAAATTTTAGGTATTTGTAATCAAATTATTGAAATGCTTACCATAATTTTCTGCTTTTTTTCCTTGAAGAATTCTAATAGTCTGCAAGTAAAATAAAAATTATATTATTAAACAACTTTTAACACAATTAATTCGAAAATTTTTGATATAAAAAAAAACTTTGATTTTTAAGCTTTTAAATTATGATTTAGAAAATCGATATATTAGTCAACTCTAAACTCTAAAAATACAAGAAAAAAACTGCTCAATCCTTAAAATTTTTAAATTTTGTTTAATATTTTATTTAATTATTATTGTCTTGCATTTTTCACTTCCACTCTTCTCAGTAATAATTGTTTTCAATTCAAAAATTAAAGAGAGAATTCATGACTACTAAAAATTACTTATAATTGAAAAAACAATTTGTTTATTGTTGCCTAATAATTAAAAGTATTGTTAAAATTTGATTTGAAATAGAATCTATAGAATATAGTGGCCACTCTTCCAAATTACGTTGTACTGAAATGAAATGATTTTACGTGTTTTAATTTAATTATTTTTGTACATATATTTTTCCCAGCGCTATACACTCTCAATCAGCGCCTGATCTGCTACGCATGCAAATTAAGCATCGTAATGAGTCCTGGAAAACAGATTGAAAAAAACCAGTGGTAACTTCATATAAAATTGAATTTAAAAAAAAAAAAGATTTTTCCAAAATTTTTTTCTTTATATTTACAGCGAAATCAACTTGATAATATTTACTTACGTATATACCTGGAACTATTGCAAAATGGAAGGCTGAAACTTTCATTCCATTCAGTATAGTAAAGTTTCGAAAAAGTAATTTCCTAAGCGCAATGTGCAATGTTTATTGTTTAAAAAACGGGGGAATGGGGGAAAGCGCATGGAACCGAACAAGTCGAAATCGGACCTGCTTTGAATATTGCATTAAGTGAAGAGATTCGAAAAATAATGTTTTTTTTTTTTTTAAATCAATTCTGCATTATTTCAAAAACTTGCCAATTAAAGTTTTCATTCAAAATTTACTGTAGAACTTGTTAACTAATTAATACAAGTAGCTTTTACTTCTGCAAAATACAAAATTACGTATTCTATGCAGCTATATATATTTTTTCCAAAAAATTTAAGTAATAAAAATGACTCATAAATTTTGGCGTATTATTAATATTTTAAATTAATACTTAAATACAAAAATTAAATCAAATTTCCTTGGCATTACATTATTTAAATTAATTGCATTTTTTTAATTCTTATAAACCAAAATATTATTACACATAGGTATTACATAGGTATATTTCAATTATTATTTAAAATGAAATCATAAATTTTAATAATTAACCATTTAGAAAGAAAAAGAGCAAAAATATTATAAAATAAAAACAGAATTATAGAAAATAATTTATCTATATATAAATATTCTTAAGAATATTATAAAATAATAGCACACTTAAAAATAAATTGTTAAAACACAAATCATATTATAATAATTTTCTAATTATCATAAATTAATTGTAATAATTAAAATTACATTTTGTGAATATATGTATATGTATTTTTATTTTCAATTCATATACATATATATATAATAATATTATAGTTATATATGTATAATAAAATGTGTGAGTTTATGTAAAAATTAATTTTTGGAATTATTATATGAATTATTTTATGTTCTAATTCTCAATTCTAAAATATACTCTTGTATTCAATAATAAATTAAATTATATGAAAATATATAATATTTATAAACAATAGAATAATAAAAAAAATAAACAACAATTTAACAGATCACATTATTTAATAATATATAAATATGTATGTATATTATGTAAATGTATATGTGTATACATAATGTTTCAAGTGAATAAATTAAAAGCTTTTCTAAACCAATAAATAATAAATAAAATCCTTTCTGATATTATAAAATTATATTATATATGTAAAGGTAGATATTGCATATACTTTTTAATATGTATATAATTATGTAGTGTAAGTGTAGGTAAAATTTAATTTATGAAAATTAAAATATATATACTTATATAGATAAGGATCTATGTGTGTACAAATTTATCTATTAAAATTGATGTAAATCTCTTTAAAATGAACTATGATTTTGACAGTAATACTCCACATAATATTGTATACGAAAAGCATAATCATCAGATTCAAAACTGTTGGTGTACCTATTTACATTAAGTTTGTCGTTGTCAAGTCTGTTCAGTAAAATTTAAAAATAATTACGAACACCAAAAACGACTGCAAATCGTTTTACTTTAATCGTTTTACTTAAATCGTTTCTTTCAATTATCTGCGATTTATTGATCATATCTTGGAGTTTATTGTCGTCTTTAACTAGTCGTCAACAAACAAAATCAAAACTAAACCATAAATTATTTTAAGCAGCTTTAATATTCAGAAAATTTGATTTTCTGGGTTGGTTTATGGTTTCGTCGGAATCTTGTTTCTTTAAACAAGATTAAAAGAAATTATTGTGGTCAACGATAAGTGCTATGGCACAAAGCTTATGAAATTTATTTTACTTCATACTAAGAAGTTTTTCCTTTTCCTCAATCTACAACTACGATCTTATGAAATAACTATTTATTTAAATTGAACAAATTAAGATTAAGCTAAAATTGCTAACAATTTTATGTTGAGGAATATATTTTTATACATGAGTAACGGTACCACTATTTTTCATATCGAGATAAAATTTTTCTACTTAATTTTTAACTGAAAACAAATACAAAGATTTTATAATTTTGTTTTCATACCAAGGAAAATTACAAATATTCTATGAAGAAAATATTAAAATTTTAAAATGTTTTTCCAAATTATTTCAGTTTTCAAAAGCGGCCTCTTTAACCTTTCATATCAAAATTCATCAAGTATGAGATTTTACATAATTTTAATATGTTAATCTTTTTGTCATATTTAGATGTTATATTACAAAAATTACATCAAATTTAATAAAAATCTTCTACTTGGACATATTTTGTGTGGGAGTTCATTTAACGAAGGGTACCTGTATTGAATACACATATTCTTATAATCATTGTCCTAAATATGACATACTTTCGTATATCATTTATAATATTTGAAAATTGTATTTGTATTTGTTTTTATTTTCAATTTTCTTTTTTTTTTATCAAATTTTATCGCCCAAATATTATTATTTACAGGTATACAATAGGATTATTATTTTGTACAAGAGGAAATGAATTGGAAAACAAAATATAAATAAAATGAACAATATTTTCACGTTACCTGCATACCATCCCTTACCATAAAATATACACCCATACATTATAATCTAAATACAGCAGCTTTAAAAACTAACTATACGCTTGTATGTATGCAATTTTCGAAGTGAAATTTATTATTTTTCTCTTCTATATATACGTGGTTTATAAAATACCGTGAAAATTAATTTTCCCAATAGAATACAAAATTTTATTCACAAAAGGAAATAAACAGCGAATTACAAGTGTCGTTTATGAAATGTAAACAAAGCTAATTATTTATTAAAACAATTTAGAATAAAATATTATAATTTGGATGTTTGAAAAGATTATGTAAAATTCTTTGTACAACAATATTCATTTTATATTGTAATTTAAATCAAAATATTATAATGGTTCTTTTATAATATGCATATATTTATTGAAGATTTGAATATAGTGATAAATTGGATCTCTATTATAAACAGTTCCGTAAAGGGTATATGAAGTTGTAAATATTTTTGTTAATTCCAGAAAAACAGATAAATAGATATTGATTGATAAATAGGAATAGAATATTCTATAGGTAAAATTTAATTTTGACAGAAATCAATCAATATTGATGTGGAACTTTTGCACTATCAGTGACTATAATGTAGTTATATTGTCTGTCTTTGAGTTTTCAAAATGTATCATGCAGGATTTATTTGATGTACTTAAGTCATTATTATTTTAAACCATATCAAAATTGCGTATAGTTTTGGAAAATCTCTGCTGAGAGCATGTAATTAACTTTACAGGTATGTTTTTCCAAAGCATTCATTTCCATAAGATTTCGATTCCCGATATAATTATGAGAAAATCTAAAATTTCTAAAATAAATAAGAGAACAAAATATTACTACACTAAAATTGAGTATAAACTTAACTTTCCTGACTGCTGACTGCATTAAATGTTGGCAATCTTCTAGTGGATCTCATCATAAAGAACAAATACATTTACATTACATTTTCAAATATTCAATTTCTTATTTCATCTAAAAATCTGTTATGGTTCGCACTACATTTATGTTCGTAGTAATTAAAAAAAAAAAAATTTTTTTTAAATATTTTATATTTTCAAATCAATTTCAAAATCTATGTATTTTAATTGAAATCTTTAAAATATTTAAAATATTTCAGGATACCAAACATTTTTTTGAATAAAAAATAAATAATTTAAATATTAAAATAAATTTATTCTGTTTCATTTAAATATAAAATACATACATATGTACATATATAATTGTGATATATGTATATTTATTTTTTTGTTTGTTATTTAAATTTATCAAATAATTATAAATCATGATTTATCAACATTAAATCATGTACATTATGTACATATTCGACAATTCAACAATAATATGGAATTAAATGATTTATTGTAACAAAGATCGTATCTCAATTTGTAAAAAACCACATTAAAATAAAATTATTTTGAACAGTATAATAGTTATAATCAGAAAATATTGAATAAAACCCTTTAACTTTTATATTGAAGTAGGTGTTTATGAGAAACCAGGGCTCTTCGTACCAAATTTAATTATTTATAAGTATAACAATTAAATGTTATACGAAAAATAATATAGAACTTTTTCATGAAATGAGCTTCTTCATATCTTAATTCCAAAGATCATTGAAAACACAAGACACAGCAACAGAAATGATTCGCACATATCCCATCCAATACTGTTTTTATTATTATTACTGCTTTTCATTATATAAAACCTAATACTTGCAAATTTTCTCAGAACCAAAACTATAACAAATTTTACTTAGCCTAGAAGCTATATACCAAAATTAGTCGTCTGAGTGC